CACCTTATATGCATGTATGAAATTCTCAATAAAGTTTTTGTAAAAGTTATAAAAAAAAAAGAATTCCTTTACCTTCCAGGCTTTTGTAATGGCGTCTCAGTTCATCAGTCAGAAGGCAAAGAGGAAGAAGCTGAGGGCTGGACTGTGTGATTAGGAAGGAGCGCAGGCTTGCTTGGCCATTGTCTCCTGGGTGGGTGTCCTTTCTCATCAGGGCTTGAGATTCAGGTGAGATGGTCTGCATCACACAGATGCTGAAAATTGCAAGGGGAATGATGGACTAAGTAGAGAGGTGAACCATGTGCATGGCAGAATCTACCCATCTGGAAACCAGCAAGTCAGGACAAGAATTGCCCTAAGACCTGCGATTCAGATTCTACACATGATGATCCTTTCTGAAACAAAATGCTATGTCTTGATCTGAGAATTCCAGCAAAGCACAGAGGAAACCCTTGGCTCACTAACCCCGATGTTCTGAGTGGAAGTTCACAGAAGGGCAGTCAAAGCTTTTGAGACAAATGCAAAGCATCCAGGCTGGCTTTCCTAATTAATTATTGTTTCAATGAATCTCAAAATTAGAGTGTTTAGCATATTGATCAAATTGACATTGAAAAATGAGTGACACAAAAATCATGAAAGGTAAATGCTATATATCCTACTGTTAATGCAGCAGGAAGGGGTGGGCTTACTGGAAAATTAGCCTCATTTATGTTTGACCTGTTTAAGCTTTTCCTAGTTTATTATATAAAAGATTCCTTCCAAATAATTTTTGTAGTTTTTCAGGTTCTGCTTTTATTTATACATGATTCCCAATGGGGGCCGACGGACACAGACACTAAAGGGTTACTACTCCTCACTCTGTCAAATTTAAGTAGAAACATTAAAAAAAATACCTTTTAAGGTTTTTTCAAAAGAAACATTCCCATCAATATTATTACTCATAAAGGCAAAAGTAAATTCTTAGGTCAATTGTCCAAGGCCACAGATGTACTGGGTGGTTGAACTGAGACCGAATTTGAATCTTTTATTCCAAGGACTCTGTTCTCTGCATTAAGGAGCTAATTAGACTTCTCCTTAAAGGAAAAATCACACCGGTGAAACAGGCCTCTCTTAGCCAAGGCCACCCCACTTAGCTCTGACCATGTGATGCTCACTCTCCAGCCCCATTCACTTTCCATACAAAACACACACAGGCCACAGAAAGATGTGAAGTCCATCAGTAGACTGTTGTGTTTAAAGCACAGTTTAAAAATCTGTACTGAGATGTAACGGAGATGAAATTCCGGGTCTGAATTCACCACATCTGTTGTTCGTCATGGTCTCCGCATCTGTTGTCTCTCACCCGTCTCTGCGTTCATGTTGTAATCTGTCGTGTCCTTCTGCGAGGTGTATTTCTTTTGCCTCTCTTAGCGTGTGGAGTGAAAATGCCTTTAGTTAACCTTCATCTTGAAGGTTATTTGCTGAATATTAAAATCAAGGTCAACCTGCTTTAAAATTTATAAAGTACTTTAACGTTCTTGCCCCCACTATCTTATTACTGAACTTCTAATAGAAAGTTTCTTATAATCATTACTTTCTGCATGGAACATTCCCTTTCTTCTCCCAGTGGCTTTTGGCACTTTCTGTTTTCAAGGTCTTGGGTAAAGTTAAGGAGTTACGGTGTGTGTGGATATAGTTTCATTCATGTTCCTTGTGCCAGAGTCATGTGGAAATTTTGGGATTTGTAAATTTCATTGAAATTGAAAGTGGGTTTTATTAGGACTTGATTGTTTTCTTCTTCCATTTCCCTCATTCAGGAAATCTGTTTACAAGTGCATCAATTCATAAGAATTTGTTCAGTTCGTTGTTACTTTGTCCATTTTGTTTATTTTAAAAACTATGGGTCTAGAGAGATACTCATCGGTTGGGAGCACTGGCTGCTCTTGCAGAGGACCTGGGCTTGGTTGTGAGTGCTCATGTGACACCTAACAACCATCCTTAATTCCATCCTTAGTTCCAGGGGATCTGGCACTTTTCTGGCCTCTTCTTACATTGCATGCTATGGGTGCACGTACATGCAAGCAAAACATACACATAAAATAAAAACAGAAAAATCTAAAAAAAAAAATATTAAAAAAAAATTCTGTAGCCCACCCCAGAAGGGCCTGGGGCTAAGCTTTCAAGCTCATTAATTTATTTTGCTTTTCAATGTCTAACCTGCTGCTGAGACCATCTAATTTCATTTAGTACAATACAGTGTTCAGTCCAACAAGGTCGACTTAGTTTTTGTCGTTGTCTCACATCTCTAACTTGATGGGGTTTTGATCTGCTTATATCATAACGTGACTTTTTGTATATGATGGTTCAATGTTTCATTAACTCCTTGAAAGAAACCCTCTATTTACACCCAGTTCCTCTTCCTAGTTTTGTGAGGGACCTGGCATGGTCACTGAGGAGCAAAATGATGGGACATTTCCTGCTGCTTCTTGGCCTCTGGCACTAAGGCCTTAGCTTAACTGCAACATGGCCCCTTCAACTGACCCGCTTAGAGTCACAGGACAGGACACCTCATAGTTTGGAGCCATAAGTCTGTCAGCTCCCGCTTCTCTAAGTTGATCAACCCAAAACTAGGGGAAGGGAAGCCATTGAAACTCTTAAAACCCAGGGCACATTGGACTCTGGCTCCCAGATTCCCTCTGGAGAGCTTCATCTTTCTGTATGAATGAATGAATGTGCGTGATTCCTTATGTGTACAGATGATTATCATTCAATAAATGTTTGGTTGCTGCTTTTGCTGGCCTGAACTTTTTCCTGCCTTTTAATTGTCCAGCCCAACACTGCCCTGGAACAAGAATGATGCTACACCCTTGGCCAACAAATATTCCACTATCTATTGCCATCGATTTTCCTTGTTTGGGTCAATAAATGTTTGGTTGCTGCTTTTGCTGGCCTGAACTTTTTCCTGCCTTTAATTGTCCAGCCCAACACTGCCCTGGAACAAGAACGATGCTACACCCTTGGCCAACAATTATTCCACTATCTATTGCCATCGATTTTCCTTGTTTGGATATTTCATATATTAGTAAGATCTGTGTTTTCATGTACCTGGTTTCTTTCACTTAATATTTTGAAGGCTCACTGCAGTTTATCATGTTAGCACCTGTTAACGGAAGTGTGCACTTGGCCTTTCTGTGCTCCTTCTGGTTCTTGTGGGCTACACTACTACAGACATTTGTGTACTTGTGTACAGTTTTCTGTGTGTTCATACTTTTTGCTGCATTTATACTTATTATGGCTCATTTGGTACTTATGTTTAAGATTTTGTGGAAATGCTAATTGTCTTCCAAAGCAGATGTATTAGTTTACATCCCAAACAGCAACATGAAGAGTTCCCCTTTCCCACATCCTACTGCAAGGGACTGAATCCTGATAAGCAAACAGGGCCACTGAGGAATAAAGACGACACACTTCTCTCTTAGTACAGGACAAAGGGCTCCTCTAGCCAGCAGGTCTCTTTCTAGTCAACGAGTCCAAAGCAGTGCAGGTAAGACCCAGGCCTATCTGGACACCCCTTCACTTGAAGCCATAAACCTATCAGCCTTTTCTTTGACTCACCCCAATACCTGGTGTGCGAGTGTTTGGATTTTGGTTTCTGAATTCCCCTTTCCACGTGTGGAGAGCTTTATTTCCGAGTGTACAGATGTGTGATTATCTTTTAGCAAGTTTACTTCTTGTTCTCTGCCAGCCTTGGGTTTCCCTGCCTTTAATTCTTTGAGAATGAACTCAATCCCAGGACCCTGAGCATGCGAGATGCTGGAACTGGTAACACAGCAGCAATATACCACATCTTGCTTTTGGACAACTCTGTGTCTGAACGTACAGACTCAAACTTATCTGATGACTTCAACGTCTATTTTGGTTCCGATTACTAATTTTTCTTGTCATGAATTTTCTTTTAGTCGAGTTGGTAATTTTAATTGTAGGCCAGGCACTGTAAATGGAACCTCATTGCTTGGTCACATATTGAGGAGATTTGTTAAGTTTTAACGTGCTTGGTGGCACGAAAGCAGTGCTCGTCTAGGGGCAACTGTTGCCACTTGCAGAGCAAGACGCCTCGTCTACCAATGTCCCACAGACCCTGCATGCTTCGAGCACAATCCATGACCGACTGATGATCTTAAAAACCCATTAGGACATTTCCTCAGATGCTTGCTGCTCAGGCTTCTCTGAGCATTCGGAAACCTTGCTGACCCCCAAGTCCTCTGTGAGCACTTTTACCCTCCTCCATTCTCCTGACTGACTTTACCTCCGGGAATTTCAGCTCTATTTTATCCACCTAGGACATTCGCTGGGCTCTGCAGGCCATTCAGATGACATCTGAGAACAGTCCTGCTAGGCAGACTGTCCAGGCCCAGGCGTGGTCCTCCATCTTCTGCCTGGGATGACTGTCCAGGCCCTCCATCTTTTCCCAGGGATGACTGTCCAGGCCCAGGTGTGGTCCTCCATCTTCTCCCTGGGATGACTGTCCAGGCCCAGATCATGGTCCTCCATCTTCTCCCTGGAATGACTGTCCAGGCCCTCCATCTTCTCCCTGGGACGACTGCCCAGGCCGAGGCGTGCTCCTCGTTGTCCCCACGAGCATCTCCTGGCTACCTAGATCACCTGATGAAATTCTTCCAAAGCGGACGTTTTGACCTCAAATCACCGCTCTTCATAACTCTCAGCGCCGTGGAGGACACCCAGCTTCCTAACTGCAGGAGCAACACGCTAAACACTGCTGGGGACCTTCTGGGCTGAGAACCCGAACTTGGCTTCCTCAGCCCAGGGACCGCCCACTGGCCGCAGCCGCCGCAACCTCGCTCCACTTCCGGCCTGCTGCGCTCAGAGCCCCCACTGCGCAGGCGCAGGTCTCAAGCCGCGCCAGCGCCCAGACACCTCTGCGCCTGCGTCAACTCGGGACGGGATGGGGCCCCGCCAATGAGCGTAGCGGACACTTCAGGAAGTCCCGCCCCTCGCCCCACAGCCAATCCCCGCCTTGGCGCGCAGTCCGGAATCCGAACGCACTCAGGGCGGCCGAGCTCGGGATGGACGCGGCGGGGACGGGGGACGCGGAGGCCGAGACCTGAGGGACCGTGTCAGCCAGGCCAGCACTGCGGCCCGAGGGACCGTGTCAGCCAAGGCCAGCACTGCACCTCTCGGGTACTGTGTCACCCTCTCCCCGGATTGTAGCCCCTGAGGGACTGTGTCCCCTCGTTCCAGCACTGCGCCTCTGAGGGATTGTGTCAGGTAATGCCAGCGCTGCACCTGTGAGGGACTGTGTCCCCTTGTTCCAGCACTGCTCCCCTGAGGGCTGTGTCCCCTTCCCGGGGTGCAGCCTGGCGGGCTGTGAAGGACTGCCACCCCGCCCCCGCAATGCCCCTCTGAGAGGCCGGCATGGTCCACTTGACTCGCGGGCGTGCCCGTGGAAGGCTCGTCCGTCAGCTGCCCAGTTCACAACCCTTTTTCAGTGCTGTGTTCTACCCCCTGTCCGACTCTGAGGACTGCCAGTCTGGCCGGGCCCCCGGGCTCTGAATTAGGCCGGGGCGGCCCTGCAACTTCCTGCCCTCGGGTGCCGGTTGCCATCAGGTCCCGGTTGCAACCTCGGCCCACGTGAGACACTGGAGCACTGGGGTGTGCTCCAGGTGTGTGCACGTGCACACGGCCCCTGAGCTAGTGCACCAGGCAACCACAGCCCCTCCCCCCCCAGGGTCCTGGCCGAGGTGGCAGACATCCTGGAGCCCACAGGCCTGCAGGAGGAGATGGAGCTGCCGGCCCGCATCCTGGCGGAGTTCGAGAGGGTGGGTGCTGGGCGGTAGGTGCCCGAGGGTGGTGCAGGGGGGTAGCACCGTGCTGGGGAGCTTGTTGGAGCCCGAGGTCTCCCTGGGAGTCCCTGTTGGCTCCTATGCAGCATCTGGTCGCAGGGAGCTAAGCACCCCAGCCCCTGGGCGGGAGGTCAGGGTGGTCTGCTTCCTTCAGCAGAATTCCCGGAAGAAGGACAAGCTGCTGTGCAGCCAGCTGCAGGTGGTGGACTTCCTGCAGAGTTTCCTGGCCCAGGAAGATGCTGCCCAGGGCCTGGGCCCCTTGGCTTCAGAGGACTCCAGCAGTGAGTGGGCTGAGATGGGTAGGGCAGGAGAATGGGAGGGGAGGGCGAGGGTGCTGGGGACTGGGAAGCCTGGGCGCAGCTTCGGGAGCATGGTTGGGCCGGCCTTGCTCGGCCCAGCCCCACCCCGCCTGCTCCCATGGCCCACTGTAGGACAGAAGGCGCTGGCAGCCAAGGAGCAATGGAAGGAGCTGAAGACGTCATACCAGGAGCACGTGGAGGCCATACGGAGCGAGCTGACCCAGGCCCTGCCCCAGCTGGAGGAGGTCCGGAGGAAGGCCGCCGAGCTCCGAGAGGCCTGGCAGCAGCTGCAGGCCAAGGTGCGTGGAGGAGGCTTGAGACAAGGTGGCGCAGAGGGGCGGAGGGAAAGGGGCAGCTGGGCGGACTACTTGCCAAGTACAAACCCCCAACCTGCTACCGCAGCCATTCTCTCCCTCTCCCCCTCCCCTTGTGACCTGCAGAAGCAAGTAGCCGAGGAGAAACTCCGAGCGGCTCAACAGCAGTGGCAGCTGCAGCAGGTGGGTTTGCCCTCTTAATCTTCTGGAAGTTGTTGGGTTCGGCTTCTGTCAGTCCCAGCCACACTGAGCTGGAGGGGCTGGGAGGATCGTCTAGACGTCTGTACTGGGTGGGCACATCCGCTCCCTTCCTTCTGTAGGAGAACCATCTACGCAGGCTGGCACAGGCCTCTGCAGAGCTCAAGAAACGTCAGAAAGTGTCAGAGGAGCAGCTTGACCGGCTGTATCAGGAGCTTGAACCCTTGGCACAGCAAACAAAGCGGGAGCAGCAGAGGCTGAATAGGTGAGGCTGAGTCCTGGGCAGAGGACCCATGCCGGCTCCCTGCTACTCTAGCGCTTCATAGCCCCTTCCCCTTCCAGGAACCAGATCTACCTCCAGCTGCTGTGCACGCTGCACGGGAAGCCACTGGTCCTTGAGGCCAAGGCTGAGGACAGAGCCACTGCAGAAACTGCCCTTTCTCCTGTGTCTCGCTGAAGGTAAGGCCTGCCGGTGGACCAGGGCCAGGAGTGGAGCAGACCACAGGTGTGTGGAGGACAGCCGGGTGGCCTTCTAAGTGTGTTAGCATTGAGGCTCTGGGCGGCAGGGAGGAGCTGGGAGCTTGGTCTGACTGACACTGCCCAGGCTGTACTTCTCCAAGGCAGAAGACCCACACCCTCCCAGGCCTGACTTCTGGGTCAGGAGTGTGGAGAGGGATCCTCTCCCAGGTTAGAACCAGCTCAGTTGGTGTCCTTGACTGCAGGTGGGAAGGAGAGCCTCTTCTCTGAGCTGTGCCTGAGGGCTTGGGGAGTGAGGAGGAGGTTGCCTTAGGATCGGCCCTTAGCACTGATGCATCCTCAAGCCTGACCTCCGTGGCTGACCTCTGTTTTTCTTCCCCAGGATGACTGAACTCTTGAGTACGGCTACACCCTGACTGGGATTCAGGTGGGGTAATCTCTGGAGTCCTCAATTAAAAGTTATCTTTGTTACTTGCTTGTGGTCATGTACTGGTGGGAAGAACTGTGGTCACTAAAAGAAAAGAACATCACAAGAGCTGAGATTGGTGTGGACAGGGAGGGTGCAGCTAGTCTGGTCCTTGCCAGTTCCCCAGATTCATAGGAGGCAAATCTGTGCAGCTCAGTTCAAGGAACAGATGCTGTGTTCCAGTGATAGGTGTGGAGTGATCTTTACTGATGGAAATGTTTGCTGAGTGCTTTGTGCTAGGGGGCTTGCTGTAACTTCAGGGCTATACCAGCGGCCCTTCTACCCCTGATTTAAGGTGGACTAGGGTTAGATCCCTGGTATATATTTGTGCATTATTTAATACTTTGGTCACCCTTGTTCATTCATCTTGTTAAGCTCAAAGATTGGATTTTGTACTCTGCCATTGTGACCTGTGTTCTGGACATCTCTTGATAGCTCGGTCATTTCCTACCCTTTGCATTTAGGTGGAGAAGTAGTATTTTTGTAAATTCTTATTTTTATCAGATTGTAGTCTCTATTTTGGAATCTTCATTTTGTCAAATATGTAAGGCTCTATATTTCTTGACTTCTAAGTATTTTAATAAATATTTGATTCATGGTATTTTCTGTTTCTCTGTAATTGTTTCTTTGCTCCATGAGCTATTTTGAAAAATAAGATTTTCGGTTGTGTCTGTGACAAGATAAATGTTCCTAAGTTTGTTTTAATTTTGTCAGAGAATCTTCTGTGTAATATTTTAATTGGCATGGAAAACAATTGCACCCTTAATAGTCTTTAACAGTTTGGAAAGAATGTTTAGAATTGTGTGTAATGTTGTTTTTCCATTAGATTGTTTGCTGTTTTTTCCACGTATGTCTTTTATGCACTTAACTTTTGTAGTCTTAGTGTTGCTTTCTGGGAGAAGCGTGTTTGGGTCCCAACGCGAATTGTTACTTTGCCTGGTGTTCTTCATAGCTCTGTGCAGTTTGCTGGTAATTGTAAGCACACACGTGTTCACTTGCGTGTCCTTCCATGCTCCTTCACTGCTGTGAGTTGCCCTCTTCGTCACTGCACTGATGCTTTAAGTCTTGAAATATAATATTTGAGCTCTAACAACCTTGCCCACTCCTTGTTCCGCCTGGAGTTCCAGCCTCCTTTATCCTTGCTATCATGTGTATGCAGCATTTTAAAGGTTACTTAAAAATTGGGTTTAAGGGGCTGGAGAGACGGGTCATGGCTTAAGAGCACTGGCTGCTCTTGCAGAGGACCTGGGTTCAGTTCCTAGCACCCACATGGCAGCCAACACCCATCTGTAACTCCAGTTCCAGAGTCTCCAACACCCTTTTGTGACCTCCACAGGCATTGTAGGACACGGATGCACTTACACACATGCAGGTAAAATTTGTCTTTAAGATTTCATAATTCCTAGCACTTCAAAAAATAGGGCGAGTTTTGTATTTCTTTCATTTTAAATTGTAATTTCTTTTGTTTTTTTCCTTTTTTCCCTAGTTTTATTTACTGTTCTGTCGTTCCCTCTCTCCTCTCAGCTCCTCTTCTCTGCCAGGTCAGCTTTTATTAGCTTAGTCTTACTGATTGTGGGAAGTACTGATCCTTTTCTTAAACAGGAACCCTGGAATGGTTTACAGTTGATGGATCGGCCCAGCCCTGACTAAGGTGTCTTGTTCACATGTTACATCTGGCCTGTTTATGTTCTTACATATTAAAATTGTGATCAATATTTTATTGATTTAATGCTTTATTTGAATCCACGTATGTATTTACCAGTTTACCTACCTTATTTTTATATTTTCTTGCTATCCTGTGAAATGATTTTATCAGAAATAAACGTGTCATAATTTCCGTTAAGAGTCCAAAGACTTCATAGTATGAAAATATTTTTTTTCCTCATTCTTGAAAGTGCCTTCATTATCTAGAAAATAATTTATAAATGAGAACTTTGATTTAATTCAAAATTTTTGTACAGTTGACTGGGTCTTGTTACTGATGGGGCAGCCACCAATTTTAGCACTTTCTCTTCATCTTTTTTCTTGTCTTCCAGCTTTGGTAAGGTAACATTGAAAAATATGTAGATTTGTGGTATGCAGCATATTTTGGTATATGCGTGTATTGTGAAATGATATCATTTGTTACTTCATGTACTCCCCCAGCACTTCAGTGTACAGTAAGGCACACGGTCACCTTACTTACCGCAGAGCTCTAGACAGCCGTGTGTTCTAGGTCCCACTGGCTGCTGACAAACTCCTCTGTGTCTGCTCAGTGGTTTTATGTGTTTTGAATCGTTGGGGTCTTTTCTCACTTGCCGTTAGTTGGGTTTTCCAGCATGGGCTTGTCTGTCAACCGTCCTAGAGACGTTTCAGGAGTGTTCTTTGATCTTCTTCCAACACTTCAATTAGATAACCACTGTTTGAGCTTCATGTATAAAACTTTTGTATTGTTACTTATCGGTCGTATTCTCGTTCCCTTTAATGTCATTTTAATTGCGTGTGGCTAATCTGTTATCAATCATCCTTTTCAAATTGTGTTAGTTTTTTTTACCTTAGAACGACATGCATAGAAATGCTGTCATTTTTATTGGCTAGTAGTTACAACTTGGCTGCCCTTTGGTGCATGCTTCTATTTAGTTATTTATGCTTCAACAATCTTTGAGCTATCTACTTTTCCCAAACTATTTTTGGGGATACTTTGTGATTCATGTAAAATTGAGAAGGTTTGTTTCCTGCCAGTGGCTAATGGGTATTACCGGTGCAACTACATAAACATTTTATTCTCTATTTTGGGGGTCTAGAGAGATGGCTCAGTGATTAAGAGCACTGGCTGCTCTTGCAGAGGACCCAGAATCAGTTCCCACCACCACATGGGGTCTAACAACAATCTGTAATTCCAGTTCCAGGGGATCCAACGCCCTCTCCTGGCTTCCTCTGGCATTGCACACACAGGTACACTTACATGCAGGCAAAACACTCCTACACATGGAATATAAATAAATAGTCTGTATTCTTAATATTCTTTGTATGCAGTCCAGTTTTCATTTTTGTCCATGGATTTCTCTCTTAATAGTTTCTCATGAGGCTTTATTTCTGTTTTGCCGCTGATAATGCAGGTAGTAGACAGAGGTAGCCGATGGTAGGGCGCTTGCCTACTATGCACAAGGCTCCCCACGTGGTCCTCACCTCCACAAAAGGACAAAACCCTTCAAGCTTTTTGTTTTTGAGAGGGCCTCACTAACCCAAGCTGGCCTGGAACTCTGTGTAGACCAGGCTGGCCTTAACCTCAGAGAGATCTACCTGCCTCTGTGACTCAAGGTGTGGGTCACGCCCAGCTTAAGATTTGGCTTTTAATATGCCCTTTCTATTTTTTTTATTGTGTGTGTTCTTACCTTTCTTTTGGTTAGTTTTGTAATATTGATATAATTTAAAATACGCAATAGATGAACTTTTTTTTTTTTTTTTTTTTGTAAAAACAAATGCCTTTTCAATTCCTGGTGTAGCTAGTACATATTTGTGTAAAAATAAGCTTATACACTTTATTGAGGCATTATTATTTTTATGGATTTGTTTTTCCAAAAAGGAATTAAAGAGAAGCCTAACAGTAATCAAATTATTGGGTATAATACCATGCATTAGAAGTATGCAAAACCTAGTTTCTCATGGTGTTTGTTTTCTCCCATTTTAGAGCTTTCCTGGGATTAATACATCTTTTCCCTACCTTATAAAATATATGTAACTTGTATTAAATGTCTCTTCTGTGCCTGTGTGTGTCTTTTTATGCATAAGTCTTGAAATACTAGTGGAGTGTGCAGTTGAATAGGTGATTTAATCATTATTCCTGTCCAGTCTTTGAGTTACCCATTTGCCACTTAGACTGTTTGGCTCTAAGAAACGTAGTGTTTGGGACCTCTTAACTAACAAAGACGCTTCATTGAGACACTTTGTGCTTCAAACGTTGAATAATGCAAATATTCTAGAATCAACATCTTTTATGTTTGTCTTGAAGCCTTTTCCAATTTTATTTTTGAAGTGCATACATTCTACTTGAATCAGTAAGTAACAGTTTTAAAAACTGGTTTCGGGAATCACAGTCTTGAACGTGCTGTTGTCCTTCAGACTCTTGTCTGCTGGGATTGTGTATGCTACCACATCTCCATAAAAGACTTCCCTTTATCCCCTAGGTTCCTTGTATACCCTTCCCTCCCCCTCCCTTAAACTAACCCAATTTTTATCCATATCTCCCTTATTAACACCTGTTTCCTACTGTTCTTCTCTTTCAGTTTCTAGTTCCATCCATTTACCTGCAAATTTCATGATTTCATCTTTCTTTACTGCTGAGTAAAACTCCATCGTATAAATGAACCACATTTTCATTACCCACTCGTCAATTGAGGGACACTTAGGTTGCTTCCATCTCTTAGCTATTGTGAAAAGAGCAGCAACAAACTTGGATGTACAAGTGTCTCTGCAATAGGATGAGTTCTTTGGGTATATGCCATGGAGTGGTATAACTGGGTCAAATGGTAGGTTCATTTGTAGTTTTTTAAGAGTTCTCCACACTGCTTTCCATAGGGGTTGAACCAATTTGCAGCCCCACCAGCAGTGGATTGCCACACTGTTTTCCATGGGGGTTGAACCAGTTTGCAGTGTTCCCCTTTCCGCACATCTTCTCGCACATTTGGTATCATTTGTTCTCTTGATCTTAGCCAGTCTGGCTGGGATAAGATGAAATCTTGAAGTAATTTTAGTTTGTATTTCCCTAATTATTAGTGATGTTGAACATCTTTTAAGATGTTTCATAGCCATCTTTACTTCTTCTTTTGAGAACTCTCTGTTTGACTCCTTAGCTCATCTTTTAGCTGCGTTTCTTTTTGTCTCAGTTCTCTTTTTTTAGAGATCGTTATATATTCTGGATATTAAACCTCTGTCAGATGTGTCGCTGGTGAAGATTTTCTCCCATTCTTTGGGATTTCTGT